TGAAAAAAAACTGAAGTGAACAAAGAAAAATCCGCCTCAATTGTGTGAAAATCTTAAAGCCTTTTAGTAGCTTTTAATTGTGTAAAACTTTTCGAAAAAATTTTGCTACTGGCCCAGTGGTAAAAAATTGTCTTCTACACCTGTTTTAGCTAATGAACATTAAAAGTAAGAAAAAAACAAAGAAATAGAAAAATTTTGCGTTCATAATAAAAAAAAACAAGAAATAAACAAAATAAGTTTGCAAATTTTTGATGCTCTTCTTTTATTTTTTTTATCTAACAATTTGTGACGTCACATTTGATTACTTCTATTTCAATAAAAGCAAAAAATAAACAACAAATAATAAAAATAAAGCTGAAATAGAAAAAAAAGCTAAAAAAATTGATGTTTCTGTGTACGTACAACAAACGTGGAATAAACTTTTGTTTCAGCGTTCTAATTTGCTAAATTTTTTCAAATAATTTATGTTTTCCCCTCGTACCTTTCTTCCAACAAATAGAAGAGTTGATTTTATTAAACAGATTAATGTTTTTTCACATATGTACAAAAATATCAAAAAAATTGTTTTGGAAAAACTTCAAGAATTTTTTATTTTTTATTTTATGAAAACTACGAATTTAATAAAATAAGAATAAAGTTAAGTTTTTAACAAATTAAAATTAGGAAAATAATGAATTTTTTTAGCTTACTGTTGATGTCAAAACTCAAAATTAGCTCTTTAACTTTCTTCTAATCTTGTTAAGAAATTTAAACTAAATCTCTTAAACTAATTTAAAAAAAAAAAAACAAAATACGACAAAATAATATACTTATGCGACAAAGTCTAAAATTATATCTGATGAAAGTTGTATGTGTAATGTACACACAGTTTGACATCAGACTTTGTTTGACAGCAAATATGTGTATTAAAAACTAGAGGAAGGAGTGACAGTTCATTTTTTGTGTATGTTTTTAACAGCGATCAGCTGATTTTTATTATTATATTATTATAATAATATAATAATAAAAATCAGGGTTATTATAATTTTTGTAGAAAAATTATTAAATTTTTAAATGTCTGATTTCCATCAAATAATTTCAACCTGACAGTAAACAGTTGTCAAACTTTATATAGAAATATATTAGTGAAAATAAATATAACAAAAAAAATTCTCAACCCGGCACAAGTTTTTTAATAATATTTTATATTATTTTAAAATAAATGTATGCCTATGTATATATATTATATATCTATATTTAAGTACACACACATGCCTTTAGACAAGAAAACAGCTGAACAATTTACTAAAAAATTAACCGATATTGTTTTTAATGAATGCATATGTAGATAATATGTATGTGTTGTTAAGAACTTACAAATGTACTCTAATGATATTTTCGAATATGACAATAATAATATTTAATTAGAACATTTTTGTTAATTGAAAATATTCGTCATAGTTACTCGTATTTCGAAGATATTCGGAAAATCTTATACATATATGTTTGTATGTAGGTACTAAAAGAGACAATCAAATAAAAAAAAATTAGTAGATTCAAAAAGCATTTGCGACATTACGCGTATGTGTATAATGAATGTATGTATTAACATTAATTTTAATACTGATATAAAATAATGTTATTAAATTTGAATTTAAATTAAAGTACAATAAATCGGAATTGTTATAAACTTAAATTTTTGTGAGGTACCGACGGAGCATTACTTGTAAAATAAAACATACGTACATATGGATGTATGTACATACATAGTATGTGGACTATGGTCCTGCTTATAGAACGTATTTCAAAATTTTTCAAAGTGAAAAAAATAACCTACATATATGAATATTACATGTAAGTACATATGCAAACGTAAACATTAATATATATGTACTACATATTTCTATAAATTATCGATACAAAAATTGGTGAAATCAGTAAAAAAAGAAAAGAAATGAGCAACACGGATAACTATTTCGCATCAAGCATCAATTTTATCTTCACGCCAATATCGTAAACTTACTAATAATAATAACATTTTTACAAAGTTATGCTTTAAACCCCCTTTTATTCCTCAATAAAATTATAGGTACGAGTATTATGTAATCATTTTGTATGTAATACATCTATACATACAATGTATGGAAATGACAGAACTACATACCCACATACATACATACATTTCAATATCACACAAATTTTCATACTTAAATGTATATGTATGTATGTATGTACATATGCTTGAAAAAAAAAAAACAGTTTTTTTCTACTTTTCTTATACACAACCAACATATTTATGTACTAATGTTGCCTGTTAAATATTTGCCGACTTCCAGAATATTCTTTTAAAGAATAACCTCAGTGCACATAACCTAACATTTTCTATATATATACGTACAATTATCTGTACATATTTAAATATAAATACATATTCTACTCAAAACATATGATTCAATGATTTGCTTTGCTTGCCGGTAAAACCAAAAAAGAGAGAATTTAGAGTAAAACAAGGTAAATAAACTGGAAAAGAGTGTTCAAAATGAACAAATAAGAAAAAAATTAAAGTTTCTCTTTAGTATTCTTTTCTTTCTCTTTTATCATACGTCAAAATTTTTTGTTTTTTTTTTCTTCCTCAAAACAATTCTCTTACTAGGTCTTAACCAAGTTTTCAATGTACATAAACATAATAAAGAATATAAAACTCTATAATTAAAATAAGCAAATATAACTTTAGCAAAAAATAGTTTTTTTTTAATCAAGGGGAAGAAAAAGTTTCTATACAGTTGATAATTTGTCCATTTTATTTTAACTGCAGTAGTTACACTAGATATGTATGTTTTCCACTCCATTTTATGCAACAGTTATAAGAATAATTATTGAATAAAGTTTTTTTCATTATTATTGTATTTTACTAAGCATTATCAAGTTTTAAATGAAATTCATTCATCTACAAGTAGGAACTTAGCTTGGTCTCTTTTAAAACTCTTATTAACTTTTCCCCCCAACAAAACAATCAAAGATTCTAAGGCGGTTTTAATAATCTTCTTACTGAAAGGTTATTTATAAAAGTAACATTTAAAATTACTGCATTATGGTAATTTTTATCCCCGATATTAAAGAAAACCTTCTGCATGACACATTTTTTAACATGTTAATGAATTCTATTTATTAATAAGCAAATATTTTTCCATTTTCCATATAAAAAAAATTTATTTTCTTATTTAAAAAATATTTGCTAGGTATTTGTATGTTGGAGCTTTTTTTCACCTCAGTTAAGCTGTATTTATTTTCAACTTAAATAAGAGTTATAGATGCAAAAATAAAAATGCTAACTTATTTTTGCAAAAATCTACGGCAACATTGAATAAAATTTGTTATCATATAATATGCATTCTACAGATGTGTAAAAATAATAATAAAATATTATCCATTTTCTCTTTGTTCATTTTTTATAATGCATACATATAATATGGTGGTTTTGTATACACTTATATGTAAAACACTTGTATAAAAAGGGATATAATGAAGGGAATTTATGCTGTTTGTGCTATTTTTAAAGTTTTTTTAAATTCATTATAGGAAAACAAGAAAAAATAAGCCTCGTATCGTATGGCAAAATGATGTTGAAATTTGGGTAGAGTTTGTACAAAATAAATGAAAATTATATATGTATGTATGTACATGTGTGTGAGTTTTATGTTGAATTTGGAAGTTGGCACCTCATCAATCGTGTAATTAAAAGCACAGAGGTATATGGCGTGATGGAAAATTCCCAAAAGATTAATTTCATTGTAAGCAAGAAATCGAGAAATGTATATACTTACATACGTATTTACGTATGTACGTATAAAGTTAATACACTATATGTATAAGTTTTAGTACAAATCTATGAATATGAAGGCATGAAATTTATGTACAATTGTTTTTAAACTCAATTGTTTTAAGACTTAAAAACAAATGCATATACATAATTACACAAAATGAAATTCAAACTAAATTTTGCAATTAATCAGATAGTGAAAATGAAAGCCAATAGAATTTTTCGAGTACTCAATTTTTCACAAATGATTGAAATTGTAAAAGAAAAGCAATACCCTTCTATCTATGTACATATCTATGTATGAGTATGTATATATCAATTGATAAGTGCAACGATAATAAACTAGGATTACCCCTCAATAAAAACTAAAACCAATTTTTACTTATTGCAAAAACATTTTTTTTATTCACAATAAATACCAGGTATTCAAAGTTTTTTTTAAATAAATTTCGATAGTTTTATGTTACTCATTTTAATGTACATACATATCTACATAATTTTAATCATCGGAAAAAATCTGTATGTATATTAATTTATCATATTTCATTATTTTCCCATACTAGTTTTTATGTAACATGATTGTGTTCTGTTCTGTGTTGTGTATAAATTTTTTACATTTTTCTCTTTTAAATTATAAAAGGGAATTGTACTAAATGAATCATTAGTGTTATGCGCTGTGTTATGTGTATCATAATCTATATGAGGTTGAGTATGTGAATATTTATACAAACTAAATACCTACACAAATAATATTATCCCTCAACCCTCTAAATTTAATGGAAATATTTCAGAAACATTCCAAAATATTAATTTTTTTATCAATTTGTAATCAAAATTTCAATTTAAATTAGAATATCAAAATTTAAATTCAATTTTATTTCAATTACAATATTTGATGAGCAAAAGTAATTATTTATGTAGGTATGCATGTATAACTAGGAAAATTTTCTCAATATAATGTACACATATTTTTTTTTGGTAAAATCAATAATTTAAGTGCAGTACTAGAAGAAAAGAAAATTTTCTCTTACCTCGTCAAAGAAAGTTTTCATTTCTCCTTTCTCCCCTTAGTTTTTTCTTTATTTTTCAAATTTATTTTTGAAAAAAAATGTCATTTTTATTAAAAGAAATTTTTTTATAAAAATGTTTTAAACAAATAGAGCTAGAGAATGCTTCCAACTTTTTTAATATTTGTACTAACCTTGGAATTTTTCTTAAGTCAGCATTTTTGGATGGATTTGGTAAAAACCATATTTCCAGTAATTTTTCAACACCTTCGAAAAAGTGTAACTCATTGTTACTGCTGTTATTCGAAGATGATGAAGAATCATTCATACTTTCATTTTTAGCCATCGCCAATTTTTTTTAATACGGAATAATTTGCTTTATTGAAATTTTTCCACACATAAATAATTTTATAATCAAATATTAAAATGTTTTATAACTAAAAAAAAAACAAAACGAAAAATCACAGTCACTAAAACTTAGAATTATTTTCCCCGGAAAATTCGATTTTTTTTTCAATAAAAAACAAAAAAAAATGTAAATATTTTATGCAAAAAGTTATTTTTTTCTTGTTCTTTAAGAAAAAAGGAAAACAAAAAATAAGAATTAAAAAACTCTTATCAATTATTTATTTTTTATAAATTTGTTAGAAAAATGTTGGCCTGCATAAGTATCTATGTATATATACAATTCAAAAAGGCCAAGATAGACAAAAGAGATATAAGTATAAAGTTTTTCCACATAAAATATAACACTTTCCAATAATTTTTCACAATAATAAAAAAGGAAAAAAAAAATAAGCAAGAAAAATGTTTATGTAATTTATTTTCTATTCAATTTTTGGGGAAAGATTTAATTCCGAAAACACTTATAACCCAACAAAGTACTAAACAGAACTGATCAGCAAAAGAGATTTTCACTAACATTTTATAGTAAAATATTCTTACTCATTTCATTTCATTTCATTTCAGAAAAAAATAGATAGCAAAACAAATTTTAAGGAGTAAAATTTTCTCTTCCATTATTCTATGCCAGTGGTGCTGTTGACTGTTGTGTTGGTTTGGCTGTCATATATTTATTTTTAGTACAAGAATCGAAAATTAGTACTTAATAGAATTAACATTTGCGAAGTACTTACATATTATATAGATTTCCATTAAATTACAATAAGAATAACAAAAAATTATTAATTTAAAATATAGGAAATAACTAATTAGATATGGAGCTTGATTTGTATTTGTTAACTATCGAAAATTAAATTTAATTTGTTACAGAGAATTTTAACTTAATATATGTACATATTGCTGCATAATAAAAATAAAATAAATTGCTGTCCAGATAAAATTCTTGTTTGCTGTATTACTAAAATAACTCAAAAGGTTTTTTCTCCCCATAGTCTTAGTTTATTTTTTATTGTAAGTTAGAAAAATGGCGTTTCTAAGCAAAAAAGAAATGTTTGAAATGCTTATTTATGTATAAATAACTCAGAAATCGTCTTGTTACAATTACTGTAACCGCTTTTTTTAACCTTACTGCACGGTTAATGGGCGAAGTGATAAGATATTTCTAAAGAAAAATGTATATAATAAGTAATACTTGTAAGAAAAATGTCTAAATGTATGTATGTATATACCTAGTTTTATTTTTCGACTAATACTTTCGTATGCACATTATATGCGTTTGTATACGTTTGTAAGAATTTATTTAACTGATTTTGTATCAATAATAACATTTAGTTGAGAGGTTAGTGACAATACATTATTAACTATTATTTTTTTAGTAAATCGAAAATTGAAAAAGAGACATAGGCTTTTAAAAGAAATGGAATGGAGCAGGATTCAAGATAATCATATTATATATAAATTGCCTTATGAAAAAATTTAAATGAAAAAAAGTTAAAAAAATAAAATTTAAATGAAATAAATTAATTTTATTAATACAAACGATTCCTTCCATATTTGTGTCCAAAATAAAATTTTTCAAAAAACTAGTTACATAAAACAATAATACACACCATTTATGTATTAAAATTTCAAAAATCACCTATCACCTTTAACATTAGAAAGGACATGAAATTATTTCTTTATAAAAATTTTAAAAACTAAAAAAGTTAATATTTGTAATCTCCATAACATTAAATTGTTCTATTATAGTACACAATATTCGATATTAATACCTACTTATACTGAAATGATATAATTAAGAATCAATTAACAGATTTTAAATACATTATAATTGAGTATTTGATTCTTCATTTAAATTTTAATTTAAACTCGGCGAGACCCAACCACCAAAAGCTTTTTCTAGTTCTTCCGCCACTGCAATACAATCACTGTCACGATTTCTAGTAGCAATAACTTGAATACCTAAGGGGAGACCATCTGAACTTAAACCCAATGGTACCTAAAAAGTGGACAAATAAGATCATAAAATTAAAGTTATTTAAAAAAAAATATAATATAAAAAATGCTTACTTGAGTAACTGGAACTTTCAAAACATTAAATATTGAAAAATAATGGAAATCATTAAATTTAATTAAAGGATAATAATGCAGTGGAGTTGTTCTTGGACTGCTATGATAAAATAAAATACCATCTTCACCCAATAAATTTGTTAATGCTTCGTCACATTTTCTTGTTACTTCACGTATTTTTGTTTCATTTTCTTTTGGCAAAATGGCATCAATTAAGGAATATATTGCTGCCATAGTAAATTCACTTTTTCCAATCAACTTTTTACCAAGTTCAACAAAGGGATTTAGAGTTACGCCATTCCCTAATAAGGCATTAAAATCGGCGGGTTCCTGTGTCATCCAATAACGCCACATATTTGCTGTTTTTTCTATGCCAGGGAGTTCAGCTAATGTTACTTTTGACCCAGTCAATTCATAAAAATGTTCGCAGACTCTGTAAATACATGACAGTGTTAGATAGCGATTATTAATTATGATTAAATGAAAATTTACTTAAACATCACTTTTTGTGCTTCTTTTGAAATAGGATTGCACTGTAACATATTATTTTGTGGAATGTAATAATATTTTAATTGTTTTACATCAACAGGTTCATCCAGTTTTAGCTTAATGCTATTTGTTGGACCTACTAAAACCTGAAACAAAATATATTTTATATATAAATAAATGACTAAAGAACTTAAGATATAACATTTCTTACTTTTAAAAGTGGCCTTAAGTCTGAAGAAAATCGAGTCATTGGACCTGCTGTGACCATTGTGGACATTTCTTTACCTGTGCGAAATGTACAACCACGCATGTCTATCGTACCTGTTGTAGCTTTATGACCAAAAATACCACAACAGAATGCTGGAATTCTAATAGATCCTCCTATGTCAGTTCCTACAATAATATTGATAATTATGGCAATTAATTCGAATAACCTTTGGCGTATAATGTTCACCTAAGCCAAATGCAGTACAACAACTGGAAATCAAAGCAGCCTCTCCCCCAGATGAACCTCCAACTGATCTTCTTTGGTCATACGGATTATTTGTTTGCCCATATAATAAATTTCTACTTTCTATCCATTTATTTACTTCAGGGATATTTGAAGTAGCGATAATAATAGCGCCGGCTTCTTTCATTAACCTAACGCACTCAGCATCTTCCTTAGCTCGGATATTTCTTCTTGAAATCAAACCTAGTGTGTGCAATTTTCCTTTAACAGCAGTACTTTCTTTACATGTAAATGGAACTCCAAGGAATGGTTTTTCAGAAAATTCATCCTCAGAAATTTTTCCACTTGAGATTCTTTCATCTAGTTCTTTTGCCTGATCCAAGGCTTCTTGAAATGGCCCCTCAACAGCAGCATTTAAATACGAATGGATATCTTTCATACGATCAACATACAATTTGCATAAATCATGAGAACTAATTTTTTTCTCTCTTATCATACGTGCCAATTCAACTGCGCTTTTTGTGATTACCTTATCACCGTTTATGGGTGGACAAGTTTTCTTTGGTCCCCAATAAGATGTTAAAACAAGTTCTAAAAGTTTATCAAGTAAAATGTGAAACAACTGAAGAATATATGAAAGGATTGTTTTGAATAAACTAGCCATTGCTCGACGAAATTTGATTTTTCGTTCTTTTATCTTATGTCTCTAAAATTTTGAATTGGAAATAATACTGTATTAAATTACATACATCTATAAATACATAGATTATATGCAAAACTATTACTTACTTTTTCCTCCTTATACTTCAATTTTTCTTCGCGTTTATACTCTTTTTCCTCTCGATGTAACTTTCTTTTAATTTCCTTCTCTTCCCGACGTATAGCTTTATCTTCACGACGTTGCTGCTTTTTTTCTTCCCTACTTTGATGATCTATGCTCATTATTTAAAAATTTTCAATCAAATATTATTTAATTTTGAATATTGACCAAATTTTTCCGTCAAATTATAAAGTGACTATCATTACCGCACCCAAATGGATATTAATAAAACATTTCGTAATTTTAAAAATTTTGAACAACATTAGTTTACGTGGAAGAAAAATTACTTTCAAATAAAAGAAACCTGATCTTGACAGACGAAAGAAATCTCTTTTTTGAATGGTTTAATGACCAAAGTACGCGATTGTCTTCAAAAAACTTAAATAAAAATTTACAAAAACAAAGTAAAACCCAAATAGATATAACAAAAAAAGAAAACCAGGTAACAAAACAAAGTATGAAATGTCAATGTAAAAGCAAATTGTGGTTATGATTTCAAGCGAAATGTCATATTTTCGCCGAGAAAAAGTACTGCCATCAAAGTTAAATATTTTGAAAAATAAAAATGTTGATTTTTGAAATTTATAATGGTTGACTCTGTTTCCGTTTTTTATTTAATTAAATGAAATTTAAATAAATAATAAATTAGATGCAAATTTACGAATAACTAAAAATTTAAAATGGAAGACCAAATTCATATGTATGTATGTAAATTATACATTCAATTTCTTCCATTAACTTGAAATTTTTAAATCTTCAGTTGCTATAAATTAGAGATAAATTAAATTAAAAAACACTGAAAAAATTCGAACATGCTCTCTTGCATTGCTTTACCGTTATGCTAATTAATGTTACCTTAAAGTAGCAACATTGTTTCTCAGAGTAAATTTGTTTTTTCGATTTTCTGTAATTTCCGCTTTCATAAAGAAGAATAATTTTCGCATGTTATCGAACCAATTATAATGTTACAACAAAAAATGTGATAGTTTTCCAGCATATTTAAGTACGTCCTTATAAATTCAGAAATATAATTACAAATATCATGAAATACTTAAATATACGTCATATACAAACATTTTTACATAAACCTTAATTATTTATTTGGGTAAATGTTCTAATAATCTTATCAGTTATAAGAATTAATTTTGTAAACGGAAAATAGCAAGATTTTTTTTTCATTGCCGAGAGTCTTCAAAATAAATTTTCAAGTGCATTTTCCGCTTATTCAGTCAACATAATTAATTTTTTATTAATCATTAATCAACTTTGTATTATTTTCAATTCTCAGATATTAATTTAAACTTTTACAATGTATATCTTTTGTTTTCTAATTGAAATTAATATATTATTATATTAAGAACAAATAACTATTTTTTGCAGCTGTGACTAATTTATCATTACTTAAGAGGAAATTTTGGGGGTTAAGTAATAATTTATCAGTTATTTTCATTATATTAACAGCTAGTGGAACTTGAAAAGTGTTTAGCTTGCTGAAAACAAATTTTCATAAATTGTTTAAAAAAAAATTATGATAAGAACTCTGCTTAATTTCAGTTTGAGTAACGAAATAGCGGTTCGAGTAGCTCATACAATTTTTCGTCTCCCCTGCGCGACTATATTCCAATTCCGATTGCGGCTATATCCAGCCAGTTACAGTGCCGGCATTATTCCGGCACTATAATCATCACCCATTAATAAAATCGCCCATAAAACAACCGCAAAAATGACGAATTTTTTAATGCATACTTACTGTTCGGCAATGTCGATTTTCTCTTTTTAAAATAAATTAATTAGTCAAATAACCTTATAGCACATTGTTGTTTTTTTTTTGCAAACAGATGCTGCTGTTCTTTTGAAATTCAAATTTTTTTAAAAATAACTTTTTACAAATATGAAAAATCCGAATATATGTACTAAATTTGTGTAATCTAATGATTTCGAAAGAAAATAATTGTTCAGGTTTATCATAGGTATTGATTAAAGCTAAAGCAATCGAATAACAATGCAATATATTTCACGATATTAATTTATGTGTAGGACTATAGGTATAATGGATATAGGTACATGTCTGACATGTTAAATGTTTTCAAAACAAAGGGAAACGAATTTACTGTAATAGTTTTCTAAACTTTTTTACTAAAAATTAATTTTCATGAAAAATTGAATTAATTGGCTTATAGCCTTTTCATAAGATTTGTTTTAAAAAATGTCTTGTTAAAGTTTTCAAAAAATTGTTTTGATAAAGTTTTCAAATTTACTTAAAGATTTCAATTATCCTGCAGTATTTTTATATAACATAAACGAAATACAAAACAAATAACACCAATAAATAAGTATGGCGCTATAAAAACCGTAATAATTAGAAAATAAAATTGTTTGCTTTAAGTTTTGTAAATATTGTTATCACAAACTACAGACATTTACTATAAAAAAAATGTTTCGCGAGAAGTGATAAAAAAATGTTCAAAATTATAAAATAAAATTATATGTAGCTTTACAAACGTAAAAAATCACAAAATGAAAACACTTTTTAAACTGTTCAATTTTTAGCTAGAAAAGAATACATACATTATAAATTAAAATTATACATAATGTTTAAGTGGGCACCTATCTCTTGGTAGAAGAGTTCATAACTTGTTCAAATGATATGAGAATATCAACTTTTTACTACAAACTACAATAAATTGTGAATGTACACGCATATGTGTACATGCTATACTAAAATTCAAGTTTTTCATACTGCAAAAATGATTTAGTTTATCATTTTTAAGAAAGTAAGGAAAAACGTATCCTTTTAATAATATTTGCTTTTGCATTTAACTATTTTTTAGAAATTATTCTATAGGTACTTATAAAAATCTATAAATTTGAATTTTTATTTTAACCTTTTTTGGAATATTTTAAAATTTCATTTTAAAATATCAAAAATTTTTGTAATGTTAATAATATAGCTATATACCAAATACCTTAACAACCTAATTGTGGTTAATGCTGCGGAACTAAAATTAAGATTAACACTAACTAATTTTCATTGTTCTCATAGAGTCAACTCATTTACGTTCCTCATATTCATATACATTATGTAAGCTATATTTCATTATATTATATACAATTTTTCCAAGTACATGTGTATGCATATAAATAACACTTGTAAATAACAAGAAATGTGCTAAATGAAAAAAAAATTTTGTTCCATAACTTTTATTACAACATTACGATATAAGTAAATACCGTAAAATTTACATAATGTTCAATAGAGTCCGAAAAATCATATTTAGACTACAAAAATAAATTTTAAAATATTTTTAAAATTTATATTTTCTCTTATTTTTGTGTTTCTTAGAAAAAACTCATCTTCAGTTTATATTTTGTCGCAAAAGCCGCGCGCGGCCTTTGCTTTATCAATTTTTTAAAGGAATTTTTCATAAATTCGCTAATTTTCGGTGAAAATAACAAAATGAATAAAATTGGAATAAAAATTTACATAAATTAACATTAAATATTAATAAAAATAAATAAAATAGCAGTATAAAAGATGTAAGTAGGTACTTAAAGTTAATAATGCACAAAACGTGTAAAAAGTGAAAAAAATTAAATATTGATAAATTAAAAAATGAAATCCGAGGTTGAATAAATTTACATATATGTACATATATACGTAATATATTTCAAATGTGCAAAATATACAATTACGCATACATATAGGAGCATGTGATGTTAAAATCCACGGCTGGCAGAAGTACTTGTTATCTGATAGATATTTTTGTTATGTCAAGTTAAAATCATAAAAAATTAAAAACAAAATTTTAATTATAACTAATTTTCTTAAATATTTTTATTAGAAATTTGTTATTATATAAAATTAAGTACTTACACACGGGCATACATTGAGCAAAATTAAAAACTAGCTCTTATATATTAATGTACAATAGATATTTTTTTATGCGGGTTGCTTTCAGTATCTTAACAAAATAGATCAACGGTGTTCTTAACTGACAAAATTTTAAGAATTAAAAACTTAATTTCAAAATTAAATTTATATTTAATAAACGGGTGAATTAAAAACTAATTTTCAGGCATGAAGATGAAAATATATGAAAGGTTTTCGACTATCATTATTAAATTTTTTCTCATTTCATGATAAAACGCGAAAATCAGTTCAGCTACTCTAAATAGGTTTTATTTTTCGATTTGCCTTAGTGAAGATGATTATCATTTTAATTTTAATCACTCTCAAAATTTAGAATTGCATAAAAATTTCATGCGAAAGCAACAAATCTTCATTTTTAAGTATTTGAAGTTTCTACATATTTGCTTTCTTCCATTTGAACACGTATTCCCTTTGTTTGCTCACAAGAATAAGAAGAATTCTTAAATAAAAAAAATTTTTACGAATAGAATCAAAAACACTGTAAAGGTTCTATTCAAATTCTACTGCTCGTGAAAAGACAACGGTTACAATGAAAAGTTTTGCTGTATTTTTCTGCGTATTAGTGAAAAAATCTCCATTCAATGTATGATGCGGCCTAATTTCCGCAATTATTTAAAAAAAATTAAGTTACAATTAACTATTTTCATTATTATTTTCTTTCGCAGTACAATCTAAAAAAAGAAAATAATAAAACAAGAATGAAACGTTTTTATTCCACATGATGGCAACAAAATTAAACAAAATAAAATTTGGAACTGTTTTTATCACTTGTGTAATATAAATTTGATATCTGCGACATAACTTTTTTTATATCAAGAAAACATTATCTTTATTTTTAGGTTTAATTTTCTTTTTCTTATTTTTTTTATTTTGAAAAGATGCGGTTAAGATAAAAATGAACACCTACAATATGTGTTGTACGTATATATATATATAGTTATTTGAGAGATTGTATGTACGAATGTTTATAGACTTTTGCATATAAAATACATTAGACTAGCAAGACTGATCTATGAATCATTTTATTTTCATTCATTCATTACCTTTCTGCAGAATTATCATTTTTACTCTTAACATAATTAGTACTTGTATTATTATTTTATTATCTAAGTAAATCATCTTATAATATTTGTGTACATATTTTGACAACAGAGTATAAAAGTATGCAATAATTGATAAATATATAGTAAAACGGAAGTGATGATTAATTATTTTATATAACAGTTGTGTAGATATTATGTGAAAGTTTCAAAAATAATTTTCTGATTTAATATTCATATTAATAAATCAAATGGTACCTATTATATCATTGACTTATCAGTTACTAAGTTATAAGGATCATTGAAATCATTGATTCAAAAATTTATGACGGAATAATATTGCAGACCTAAATACTTTTGAAAATATAATACTTCCAATTATTTTAACACTATTTATTAACTAATATCGAACACTATTTTGTACAGAAATTTTTTGCTACAGGAGTAAAAACTAATT